GGCGGGGGGGGCGGGCCGGGGGTGCCGAGCCACCGGTGGAGCCAGCCGCCTCGTCTTGTCTCATCTCGTCGGATTATCCAGCATGGGGATGACAACTCCCGCGTCCCTCCTGCGGCATCACCTGCTGGGGAATGTGCTGACACAGGGGGCACCGGCTAAGCTGTCCCCGTCACTGCTAGCAGGGACGGTGGAGGTGGCTTGCAGCCCGCAGCTGCTGCCCCTGCCCTGGCGTGGCATCACGTGGCCCTGGTTCCCCCCTGCTCCCAGCACAGGCAGCCTGGCCAAGCCTGTGGCCGTGGGTGGCTTCACGCCTGCTGGTGGGATGGCGTGGGAGGGTGGGCTCTGCCATGGGGCTGCACTGCCCCACGGCTGTGGCCTGAGGCTGCTCCCATCCGTGATGCCCGCATCACGTGCCCCTGGTTCCCCCCTGCTCCCAGCACAGGCAGCTTGGCCAAGCCTGTGGCCGTGGGTGGCTTCACGCCTGCTGGTGGGATGGCGTGGGAGGGTGGGCTCTGCCATGGGGCTGCACTGCCCCACGGCTGTGGCCTGAGGCTGCTCCCATCCGTGATGCCCTCATGATAGCTGGCAGAGGTGATACCCTGGATGCCTTGGCCCAGGAGCATCCCCGGGGTGGGGAATGGGAATCCCTGGGGGCAGGGGACGGGGGACAGGGAACAGGATCCTCTGCTTTGCAGGGCTGCAGACTAATGGGGCTGCCCGCTTGGAAAGTTTCTGTGCGAGTGGCATGTCCCGCTCCAGGTTGCCTGGCTGTCCCCATGGGGCTGGGACTGGTCACAGCCCTGCCCATGCAGTGGGAGCTGCCCAGGCAGGGCTGCCAACAGAGGGGAGGGCTGCTTCCCGCACGGACAGCCCTTGGGGCTTGGAGACAGCCCCAGGTGCTGGCTCACCCCAGGGGTTACCCCATCCCCTCCCACTTTCCCTGTGGGTTGGGCTGGTCCTCGTGTCCCCAGGGCACAGCCGGGAGCTGCTGTGGGTGTGATGCTGGTGGTGGGCATGGCACGGGGATATCCA